TGACGATAATGGCAAAGGAAAATTACCTGAAAAAGCACATGAAACAGATGCTGGATTTGATCTTAAATATCCAGAAGCAACATTATTAACAGTTCAACCAAAAGAAATAGTTCTAATAGATTCTCATATTGCAATAGAAGTACCAAATGGAACTTATTGTTAATTGGTTTCTAGATCTTTATTAGCACGCAAAGGAATAGAAATTAAAGCTGGGACTATTGATGCTGGATATACTGGAAACATTGGAATAATGCTTATCAACAATTTCAATACACCATATATAATTTAGCCAAATGAGAAAATCGCTCAAGCAATATTTATATCAGTAGTTAAAATCTCAAAACTCAAATTATTATCTTCTTGTGATGAATTAAACCAAACTGAAAGAGGACAACAAGATTTTGGATCATCAAATAAAATCAAAAAAGAAAAATATAAGCTAGAAGAAGATGAATTTGAATATGAAGAAGAAAATTTGGAAAATTAACCATTACTTCAAATATTCGAAGAACAAGATGAAAAAGTCATATTGGACTTTAAGATAAAAGAAAACCATACTCAGTTTAAAAGTAAACAATTCCATCACTCAACATTTTTCGAAATGCTTGAAAATAAAATCACTAGCTTTGACAAATATTCACATAACAATGATAAATTAGCTAGCACTTGTCTAATTTGTCAAGGAGATAATTGGTTCTATAAACAATTAAAAATAGTACCAGAATCAACATACAAAGTCAAAGAAGAAGATAAAATGGAATTAGATAATAATCAACAACAACAAATAAATCAGTTAATAGAAGAATATAAAGACCTATTTGATATTTCTGAATTTGGTAGAGCAAATGCCGTTGTTACGACTGGAAATTTATATAATTTATATAATTTCCATAATTTTCATAATTTTCATAACTTTCATAATTTTCATAATTTTTATAATTGTAATAATTAAAACATTTACAACAATTGCCATCATTTACAACAATTATCATCATTTACAGCAATTACCATCATTTATATAGTATCTATTATTTATCAACTTATATAATTAATCATAAATGTAATATTTATTAATGGAA